TCAGGGGGATTCTTCTGACAATGGCATGAACTGCAGCTGGACCAGAGTTTCTGAACTGTGCACAGGTACTTAAAAGCACAAATCCATTAAGTATATTTAAGACGCTTCTCTAACTCTATCACATATTTCATTATCCAGCTGTGGAGAGTGCTGCCGCCGGTGGAGACTCAGGTAAATTGAATCAGCTGTGTCTCAGCTGCCACTTCCTACCCCTCTCCTTTCTTTCTTACGTCAAACATAATTCTTTACACCCAGTCATGTTGACGCGATGGCAACGGAAACGCTGTGAACTTTGTTCTCGTAAAGGTGGTGACAGCAGCTCCGACTCAACCTCTGAGTTCTCCCAGGCCAAGTTTGACATGTCCAGCTTCATAGGCGGGATCATACTGGTGCTGTGCCTGCAGGGTGGCGGCTTTCTCGCCATGCGCTTCCTCAAAACCAAAGAGCAGAGCAACTATGACCCCATGTGAGTATGAGCATGTAGGTGTAAGAGATCCGGGCCGCTTCGTGTCTGAGTCACCAGCTGAAGTGAGGCACCAGCAGCCCCTGGTGGCAAGAATCATTCACAATATGCACTGTGCCTGGTGAAATCATTCATATCCCTGGACTTTGTTTTAACATTTTACAATGTAATGCACTTTTCTTAGGATTTCATGTGTCAGAACAACATGAAGCATGTTTGGAAAATGGAAGGAAAAGGCAGAAAACACTCATCAATAAAATGTATCTCGTAAAGGGACGCAGTGGATATATTAGGGATAAAGATGTGAGGAATTTTTTTTTTTAGCAGGATTAGGATTCCAGAAGTTTTGAACATGTCAAGCTCTGTGTCATCCATAATCAGATAAAGGCAAGAATAAGGCACAATAGCAAACATGATTGTGGCACGAGTTCATCAGGCACATATAGCATCCGAAGCTCATAATCTGTTCACAGGAACATTTTCTTTCCACATTCTACAACAGTAGCTTTCCTGGAAAAGTGGAAAGAAATCGTTAAAAGAAAGCCATCATAAGTCCTGTGTAAAGTTTGCCATAATTATTGAAGAGTAGACAGCAGATGTGCAGAGGAAATTGTGGTCATAGCACCATGTTGGACAACATGCAAAAGGTAGGATGTCTTAGATCAAAGCATATTTGGACATATTCATGTGTTTCATCTCTTCCATTTCACAGTTATGCACTAACTTGGGTCAATCCATGACATGAAATCCCAATAATTATACCTTGGAATTGGTGGTTGTAACCAGGCAGAATGTGGAAAAGCTCACGGCTTAGGAACACTTTTTGCAAGGCACCGGAAACCACTCTTCAGCCTCTCAGACCTTCATTGTGTAACGAGTCTGCTGACAAACTCTTATCAGTCTGCTTACAAATTGTTCTGTCTTTGCACAGAGAGCAGCCACAGTGAGGACAAGATGTTTGAAGGGCAGACAGGATGGAGGACAGCAGCAGCGGCGGCAGCGGCAGAGCGTGACTCATCGAGTAATGACGACAAGATATTTTTGTGTTGTTGTTTTTTGAGCCCCTGTCATTTTTGGTTTGGTGCCCTTCATAAACCCCTGTGGGATGGCTGTGTTTATGAGAAACATTTTTTGACCTAGATTTTGACTATATTTATGCTTGTATTTACTGTCCGTCAGTAGCTTTGAGATGCATGCTGGGTGAGCAATGCACAGCTATGGAGAAGGGGTCACACAACTTTGTGCAGACAGTAGGTCAGAAAAAAAAAGCTTCACAAATACTCTTGTTCATAAAAGAGACAGTTTCATGTGCGACTAAGAAGCGCTGCAATACAAATTTTCTTGCTTTACAGTGGAGTTTTAACGTTTGTGAACTGGCTTTTATTTGTTTGTTTGTTTTATTTATTTAGAATTTATCATCTTGGCACATTACGCGTTAGCACAACTGTCTTCAGAAGACAGGACATTCCTTCGCAAACTCCTTCGAATCGAGTTTCCTGCCCCAAAAGAAACTAATTGGAAATAAAGTTAGGCTTTCAGCAATGACTTAAGTTTTGTCGTTTTTATTAAAACTTAACAATGATCAAATCGACCATTTTATTTAGAATTGTGTAACGTTGTTAATTTGACTATTTTTCTTGTTTTCGTAACGCTGACACACTTTTCCTGTTTCCAGCGCAGCAAAATAAAACACCAAACCTTGATACTACCACCGCCACGCTCAAATGCAGTTCTTTTATTTATTTTTTTAAACAAACATCACTTTCATTCTGATCTTTTTCACCTCACATCCCTCTTACTTATCGACACATTACCATTTAGACTCGCTTACTTCTATGTAATTCCTGTCAAAAGACCATCTTTGTACTGACTGTCTATTTTTCAATGTATTTTTAAAGAGTTGTGGGGAAAAGAAGTAAGACTTCCCACTGACTGTTCTTATCACTTGGTGATGTTTTCACATGTTAATGATGTTTCTTGGGACAAATGCCTGACTCGTCTTTCTGTGTTGGTCTTATTGCTCCAATCGACTCTGAATAAGCTCCTCTCAGTGGTATTAAGACTGAGAGGTGCTTAATAGGTGTGGACAGCAGGTAAGTTTTATAGCTCTGTAACTTCATGATGATATGATAAAGGGATGAATAACAATCATGGTGTCCCTGTGTAGAGTGTCTGTAAGTCAGGGTGAGTTCGTAGCGCAGGCAGAGAACTGGCGGAGGCCTGCAGGGGAGGAGTGGTGAGGCCGGTGTGCCAAAGCTTTACAGGCTTGAATAAACCCACACAAAAAGGTTTTCCCCAACTGAGCAGGCGATGGCTCTTTTCCAAGATTGTTGACAAAGAACAGGACCGAACACAAGCCTTCCTCACTCCTCATCTGCCCTCCCCCTACACACACAAACACTTTTCTACTGCGTGAAAGGGAAGTCCAACAAACACCAATAGTTAATGTACAACCGATCAGTCTTTCCTCTTTTCGTAAAACACGAGGAATCACTCGTATGAGCAGGTGTGTACCTGTGTGCGAGCTCGCTATTTGCTTAATAGGTGTGGAAAACTGCAGGGAGACGAGTTAAATCCCACCTCCACCCTAGCATTTGGCAAAACATGCGTGTGTGTGTGTGTGTGTCATGTCACCCTGCTAAATATCCGGTTTCAGAATAACTTATTTAAAAGTAGTTCTTTAACATTTCAGCCAAAATCTTTAAACAAACATTATTATTATTATTATTATTATTATTATTATTATTATTATTATTATTATTATTATTATATTATTTCACAAGTAAAGTGCCAAAGAGTGCGCAAACTATCTGTGGCAAGTAAACACACAAAAACAAAACCTGAAACCAAATCTCCTTCAGTTCTTGTTCACATACAAACGGCCATTAGCAACATATCATAGCTGTCTACAACAGGGAAGTCATGGGGTTGTTTCTGATCCATGTTCCAGTTTTTGACATCCAGGGAACGTTTAAGCAGAATAGTGTAAGTAAATAAATTTAATACTGGTGTTAAAAAAATTGCCTAAAAAAAGAAAAATCAGTGAAAAACCACTTACAGTAAATGCATCTCTGTTCATGAGTTGAAACATTACACCGTCTAAAGGTTTGTTAGGCTGTGAGAGCTAAAGCTGCTGTGCTATTCTGTTGCACAGGAAGAACATTATGCAAAACTTTATTAAGCAAAAGATGATATCTGTAGTTGCATCCAGCTGCATCTTCTTGTTTTCTAGTAGTGACCTGTGCTGTTGTTGAGTCAACCGTAAAAGTATTGAAAGCATATCAAATCAAGATCACAAGGCAATAAAATAACAAGCATACCCAAAATACACATACTGGCAAAGTCATGTACAACTGAAAAATAGTCAGGCTTGGAGTACCCCTGAAATTTAAGCAAATGCCTTGATTAACCACTTCATGCATCTTCAGGATAAAACCCATCAAATTCCTTTAATTAGTGGCAAGTACTTTGATTATGCATATAGATCACCTGCCTATGTTTACTCCCAATTCTGCTGCCCTTAGGGTACTCCAGGCATGTGTTGCACTAGAATCCTGTGCTATTTAATACCAAGATGTTGGCAATTCCTGAATCGTATTTGCTTTGGGATCAGAAACTTTATCCCTTCTGAAAGAGGCCACATCCATCAGAGATGGTTGTTTTCATAAAAGGGTGTACATGGTCTTTTGTGGGTTATATGTGTCACACCCAGATGGAGTAAGGGTGCCCATTTCTCCAGCCTCTAACACATTAAAACATTTACAGGGAGTTTAGGAGCAGGAACCATTATGCAGAGTCTTATCCTCTTCATCTGTCAGTGGTCTTGATAATAATATTCTTTCACATAGGTTGGCCAATTGAGGAGTAGGTCAGGCTGCTGTAAGTTAGATAAGTTTTAAGCGTTTAGCTTGCTAAGGTGAAATATTTTTTTAGTGTCTGCGTTGTAAAGCACGTATCTGGATCTTTAAGATTTTTTTGTTTTTGGAAGTTGGTATTTGAGGATTCTTGATTGGAAATGCAACAAAAATACAACCTAAAGCTGCAGTTCCATATTTTAAAAAATTGGAAGTCCCCAAACAACTCTGAACTCATGGACAGAGCATCCCAATGCGTATTGAACATAGGGAAAGTTGGAGGCACTTGCTTTTGTTAGCAGATTTAAATGTCTTTAATACTGTAAACCCTGATTTCTAACTATGTTACTTTGTTGTTCAAATTTATGAAACACTCACCCACACGTGCACACACAAAAATCATCATTATTGGCATGTAATGATGTGCTGCAACAGTAGTGCAGCACAGCAAATAGCAACACAGCAATTAGCAAAGCCTGTGGGTTTTCTAACAGCAAAAACAAGCTCAGCTTTGTTGAGAAATCATTCCCAGAACCAACCCACAACTTGCAATCCAAATTTAATGCAACATAAACACCAGGTTCCACCCCATAGGAAAGCACTGCTATGACTGGTGGATGCATTGTATTTGAAATGTTATGATGTTCATACTACAGAATATCTAAAATGTATTTCCAGCACATGTGTGATGCAGCTACAGAATTTGTGAAATCGCTGCTGAAATATCACAGCAAGTCCAATAATAATATTGCTTGATTTTATTCAATAACATGCAAACCCTCTGTTTTGATGAAGTTTCGTTTATTTCAGGATGAAAAAAGAGAAACTGGTGGCACGACCTAATTTCTGATTCAACCTGCCAATACTTTTACGTTACCTGAAGACTTCACAGAGCATTGAAACCTTATGACCAGATGCTCAGATGATCCTTTTGAACCCAAACAAATAATTAAACGGGACACTGACAGCACATCCAGACACATCTTGTGAATTCCTCAAACTTTACCCTGATCGACATTTACTACTTAGAACAAAAGTGGATAATAAGAAACAGAAGTATTTTAAAAATGTGACAGACAAAGGTAAAAAAAATAAATAATAATTTAATCAGTTCATTTGAATCCTTTTTGAACTAATTTTGATTCATAGAAATTTGGCGGCTTATGCTCTACGCACACGCACACACACGCACACACACTCCGTCTCTGCTTGTGTGCGTGGCCCTCTTCGTATTTGTTCTCACGCTGAGCTCCAAGCAGAGGGCTGGCTGCCCCTGTGCGGATTGATCCCGAGGGCGTGTTCACTGCCTTGGCTCAGCACACAGACAGACAGACAGACGGACGCAGATCGCACTCTGGAAAAACTTTTCCCCCGCATTTCTCCCAAATGGAACAGGTGGAAGCTGTCAGATGAGGTAAAACATATTTCCACCGCATTTAATGGGTATGGGTGCGCTTGCTTTTTTTTTTTTTTTTTCTTTTCCATCAGCTGGTGAGTAAAGAAGTTAAACGTGAGAACGAGGCGTCAGGTGTCTCCACTCATGTCGTTTTTATGAGGACCAAAACCCTGCTGGACAAACAAACCCTCTGTTTGTTTGTTTTTTTTTTAACTGAAACAGTAAAGATGTCTGTACACGCAATAATCTACTGTTTATATACTGTTTAAAACTTTTAATTTGAAGGGAGATACTCAAAAGAGCACAGGCCGTTGAACATAATGGAAATAGTGGGTGTTTGCGGAAACTTTCTTTGTGTTGCCTGTTTGTTTTCCAGACCAACAGTTTCGCGCTTGGGAAAATTAAACACAGGCAACACGCCGACCAAAACACCCAATGAGATTAAACATTTTGCACAAGATAAGTTGCGAAACTCTTTCAGCAGTACAACAGGAGCTCTGCTGATGCAATGTCTTCTATTTTTATGTGGTAAAGTGTTGCTTACCAGCAGATAAAATATGCTGCAAAACGTGATCAGGAAGAGGATGAAAGCCATTGCTGGTTGGAGACACAGCATGTCCACTCGCCCACTGATGCCCATAAAGCACATGAAGGGGAAACGGCTTCAAAGACTCGGCATGAGCAACTGGGTTGCAGGTTTTTGTAGTAAATATGAAGTGGCTACATATGTTATTTCACTCGGTTTCAATCTTGTTATTCATGGCCTTTTGCAAAAAAAACGAGGATAAGTTTCCTCCCACATTACTTTCCTTTACAAATTGCAGTCTGGTTTTTAACAGAGCACTGTGCGGTGGTACCAAGATGAAGGTTCTTATGTGTTTATTCAACTGTATGCAGCCCCTATTTCCAGTAAAAGAGATGTGCAGGGATTTTAAAAAAAATCAGACTATATAAAGCATATATATGTTCATAAAAACACTGGTGGAGATCATTTTTCAGGTTTTCATTTCACCCTAAGAGAGTGATGGGAGCATAAGATGGTCATTAATCTGTACAATTATTTGTTGATCTCCTCCTATTGAAGACTATTGAAGAGAACATCACCCCACAATGGTGTGACATGACCCCTCTGTGTTAACCAGAGTTTAAAGAGTGGTCATCTGAACTTGGGCATGTTTCACTAGGTCAGCTTAAATTTGTGTCCTTTTAAAAATCTGTTTGATTTCTTGAACAACCCCAATAAAACGCAAACAGGACATAATACCATCCCTAACAGATAGCGCGTATTTGCTTAAAGATAACATCTTCTCCTTCCCAGTATGGCCGGGCAACGGGTTGACTCAACTCTCGACCTGAGCCACCTGACGGAGGAGGAGCAGTCCTCCATCCTGCAGGTCCTACAGCGAGATCTGGAGTTGCGTCATCTCGATGAAGGGCGAATAAGGTCAGTCCGAGGTG